TTGTGTCCTCTTGTGTCTATAGATTGATTGCTGTTTTACAATTTTAAATTCCCTTCACCTACAGTTTTACACCTTTATTACTTGAACATGCTAACATGAATACTTCCCCTTTTTAGTCCCAAAAAATAGTGTGGTTGTTTTTATGCATTTAACACACAGACTCACCAAACAGATGATACTAGTGTACACACACGCACGCACGCACACACACACCCACCACAAGCGTATATCTGATGGTTTTGTGAGGCCTAGCAGATGCCTTTAATCAGATCATGTCACATTGACACAAACATGTTTGCTGCTTCACTAAGCGCACAATGAACAAGACACACACACACACACACACACACACACCCACACACACACCCCTTCTGGTGTATTGTTGTTTAACCCTTTTTGTCAGGTTAAGAGGCTTTCCTATTGAGCCAAGCTTAGCCTGTCACCCCTCAATAATCTTTCCACATTTCACTGCCCCATCCACATGTCATGTATATTTTTCTCAGACCACCATATGATTCCTGAACTTCTCCTTGGCTTACGAGTAGACGGCAGGTGGAGGATGGATGCTCCTTCACCCATCCCGCCTCCCACTGTCCTGCCCTGGGCTGGGGAGCTTTTGTGTTGGCTGGAGGAAATGTATTGTGTGCCCATCTGCCCCCCCCCTCATCTCCCTCTTTCTCCACGAGCTTCAGTGTTTACCCTCAAAAAGCCAACAGCAGATGGGGGGGCTTTGCTGTCACACAAACACCAGCAGAGAGGTGACGGGGGTGTGATCTCGTATGCGTATAGATTGCGCATGTGGGACGGTGTGAAGTCTTTGTTTGTGAATGGAAGTCTGCTATATTTAGATGTGCTAATGTTAGTTTCAGCACATGGTTCTTGTTTCCAGAACATGCATATATGCATCTTTGAGTTCCTCATGACCGTTAGGACTCAGGGCAATAATAGTTGGACAGCGGGGTAACATTTATGAAAAGTCTCATAACGGGAGGAATTAAATATGAACATCAGCCATAAAAGCATCGCAAAAGACTGCCTTAAATGGAGTAAATACATGTATCTAAACAAATGGCAACGAGAAGAAACCATGTTATATTTATTATCAGGCTGCTTCCCACAGAAGTAGAGAAGTGGAGACAGTCGTCAGTGATGTGAGTCACTGCCTGCAGTGCTACCTGCAGGCAGTGACTCACATCAGGAGAGGGCAGGATGGATGACTGACGCTGAATAACATCTGTGTTCTTTATTATTTCCAACATCACTCAATATTTTGACGTCACGAATGTTATTTGTTTTATTGACATTTTAGATTCCGGTTTCTGGTGAGATAATCGGTTAATATTGGGGGCTTTTCTGTTGCTAACATTAATGTTGCTTCTCTAGAATGAAACTTATTCCCAAAAAAGACCCCTTCATCACAAAACAACCCACAGAAAAATTCAACCCTAATAGGCCAGACTCAAATGAATGTTTGGGGGATCTGGGAGGATATCCTGACCTTCACGCCCTTCCGGCTAAGCTCCTGGCTGGCAGTTGAAAAGAAGCTGCTGGCAACACACGTGTCTCCGATATCAAATGTCCATCTGTCCCAATGTCAACAGTAGAGTTGACAAGGATCTCTTTGGCCTACCTCCAAATTGGGTCAAAAATGAAACAATGGTCACGGATGTCTATGATGTCTTATGTTGGATCATATGACTGAACCTTTCCTAATCAAACCATTTCATATATACATGTGCTTGAGTGTGGGTCAGTGTAATGGTTTAACAGCGATACTCCAGATTGAACAATATTTGGGAAAACTACACAAACTAACTGCTCAGTTTATAAAAAGAGTAGCTCATTTTCAACCTATTTGTCAGTTTTGGCAATCAATTATTAACGTCTGTGTGATTGAGGTTTCTTCGACCTTAACATGTAGCACACTGATGATACAACAAGAGAAATCATTCAATGTCTTACAGTACTTTATATTTTTGGTCATGTTTTTTTCGGGATGGGACTTAATCAAGCTATTTGTGCTGTAATATAACTATTTGAAAACCTTTAACATATTATTATGCAGAAAGAACTGTTGTTCCAAGTAATAAAACAATATTATCTGCTTATAAATGGATTGTTATATTTACCACATGTTTTGTACACGTTAGCCATTGATATAGATTATGGGTGAAAGGTGAAAGTATGCAGGAGCACAGTGCGTCAGTTCTGTCCTATGCCTAACGTCAGACCCACCTCTATTTGTTCAGTCCCAAAGGGTGGTTGAACTGCGCTCACTGATAAAGCAGAGAGTATTACAACATTATGCTATACCAACTCTCCCAGGGAACATAAATAATCATCTGTTATTAGTTAGTCACCCAACACTCCAACGTAGTACGTACATGCTTGTTGTAAGATGCAAGTATATAAAACAAGCCTTATTGTGTTGGAAATATAAAATGACGTCAGTGGCAATACTCAGACAGCATGTTATCTTTGATGACTTGTCTGTTAGACATTGTCTTATCTTTCTTGGGGAGTTTCTTTTTTCTCCTGATTAGTATCTTAAAATCAAAAAGTGACATTTTATATGTTGCAGTTATTTATTGCCTTCCCTTGCCAACATTATGTATAAAAGAAGACAGTCACATGCAGAGGGTGGACACGGTATCAGTTCCACTTTTCTGCAAACTAACATTTTCTGTCATAAACTTACATGGATGTTTTCAAACCAACCGCATGAACATGTTTATGGCTTTTTTGCTGCCTGTCAGAACAGTCACTTCAGCAGAGCCAGACATTCACCTCCATCACGGTCACCTGGCCCCTTTCATGTGCATGTGCTCATACTGGCAGTACGTTTTGCAGACGCTTCACTCTGCTGTCCCTGCACTCTGCTGTCCCTGCACTCGCTGCCCTCTGGACCGCGGCCCGCTGCCGTGTTGTGACCGTGGGCAGCGCTGGAATGTGAGACAGCAGAAACACAGACCATGGCTCATTGTCAAAGCTGCAAGGCTGGATTTGTCCAATGACTGGCAAGGATATTTTAGGGTTTTACTTGTGGTATTTTATTGTTTATTATTCATCTATAAACAATCACTTGCACTTGACATTCCTACATCACTTATTCATAACTTATATCCAGTTGTACTAGTAGAACGTGGGAAAATACTACTATGACTTTAAACCTGAATTATTTATTTGAGAAGTGTGACCTGCTTTTCATCTAACACCACATTTTAGATTTTGCATTCAACATTTGTATGCATTTCTACGTAAAAGTTAACATTACACTCTTTTTAGCTGTGTAGTCAATATGGTCTTCTTCTTTATTTACTCATAAACTTTAAATTATCTTATATTTACTCTTTGCGCTTGGCTAGATCTCATAGGTCAGAAGTTCAGGCCTATATTCGACCCAGCATCTCTTTACTACTCTAAAGGAAAGGGTTAGTTTCCTGTGACATCTCTGCAGCATTTGACATGTGATTCACAACTGGCAAGGTCATAACACATGATCCTATGTCCGATCCTTTTTTTTAATAAAAATGTCATACTGGGTAACTTTGTTTTGCAGCAGTGTTGTTTGATGCATTGCAATACTGAATGCAACCTGGCAATAAGGCTCGAATCATGGCAGGAATCATAAGGCCAGGGTTCCTGAGTGCCCTTGAGCGGCATGCTGAATATCAGAGTGTTTCAGACGTACTTCTCTGCAACTGAAGCTCATGTTTGACTTCCTGGTATCGGGTGTCTAGAGTAAAATGACACTTTAACTCAGTATTAATGTACAAATGGATACATATCTGTGTAATGATACAATTGTTTAAAGTGGTGCAATGACCTAGTGACACACAAAGAGGGTGCTACATTCACACGAGACCAAGTTTGAAAAACTTGACACCTTCTTTAAAACATTTTGCCAGATGATGGCAGCACTGGACCTGGTATTTAATGTTCTTCAATGTTTCCTACTGATGGGAAGCAGTAGTGGCAACCTGTTTGTCCGCAATTGGTTTCATGTCACTTAGTACAATACATCATTTACACCTAGGGTTGCAAAGGGGCAGAACATTTCCGGTACATTTCTGGAAAGTTTCCATGGGAAGTTAAGCTGGGGAATTTTGGAAATATTCGATGCAAAATTAAACAAAAAACATGACATTTCAACAGTTTTTTGTTTTGTTTTTTTAAGTAGAACAGAACAAGTTTTAATTATTTTATTGAACAATTATTTGTTTCATTGAAGAACGAAAACAGGAATGTTAAATATTACTCATTAAAAAATTAACAAAAATGCACCCCCCATCCAAAAATCCCCACAAAGTCCCATTCAAAATGTTAAATGAAAAGAGCCCTTCTCCCTCCAAAAAGTCCCATTTAAACATGCAAATCTTCCTTCAAGCGATCCTCTGCATTTTTGCTAAACCCTTTCAGTCAACGGGCTCTTCCTGGGCCTCATCAACATCCAACTCTTCCTCTTCCTCTTCAGTGTCACTGTCCAGCCTTGTTGAGGATGGCTCTGTGTCAGGCTCAAAGAGCCTTAGGTTTGCCCGAATGCCAACCAGTTTTTCCACTCTCACATTTGTGAGCCTGTTGCGAACCTTTGTGTGGTCTCAATAGCCATGCAGTAAGCAGTGTGCTATGGCATGGATATTCAAGTGTACTTGAATGGCATCTGTTTGTTTTAGTCAAGATTATGCTAAAATATACTTTCCCCAACTATATTTAAGTTCCCTATGAAGAGCCAACCTTCAATTTAGAAAATTCCCAGTTTATTCCCGTTAATTCCCAAGGAAAGTTTCCATCTTTGAAAATTCCCGGAATTTTGCAACCCTATTTACACCTCACACCCAAACAATGAGACCTGGTGTCCAGTTCTGTCACATTGACCAGTGAATATATGTAAAGGAAATAGGCAATTAAACAGTACTTTGTACTTATAAAATGTGTTTTATAATTGAACTGTTTTGTTTTGATTTGATGTTAACCAGCCTCCTTTCATGTCCCCTGTCCAGATGCTGCAGGATTGTGCCAAGGCCCGCAGGGAAGTGGAGCTCCACTGGAGGGCGTCACCTTGTGCCAACATCGTGCGCATCATTGATGTCTACGAGAACCTCTATCAGGCCAGGAAGTGCCTGCTTATTGTCATGGAGTGGTGAGTGCACAGTCTCAGTGACACAAACAATATAATACATATCCATGTGTAGTGGTTAATCAAATGACCACATGTAAATGCAGCTCCTTATCCCTCTGTCAAAACACTTTAAAGTGCACTTTAGCAGATATATTTGGGCAGCGATGATCCACCTGACCGATATATATATATATACCCCATGTGAATGTGGAAAGTAACATATAAGACTTCAGCCATCACACATGTCTGTAGTGGTGCATTCCTGATAAGACAACATGTAAATGGGAGGATTTGATGGAGAATTGTAAAGTTGTGTTGGAGCATCTCATCAGTGGCTTTAGTGGTTTGCATGGGAAGATGACCTTCTATTCAAAGTGGACAATTGATGTTTAATGTTTCATTGTCACTAGCCTACGACTTAGATATGATCAAGGCTCCTTCGGATGTTCTGGACATATTGCTTCTTTGGCAGTAAGAACTTTTCAAAACAATTATGAATTAAAATACAGACCCCACTGTTTGTCTGATTGCATTAAAAGTAGGGCTGCTCGATTATGGCAAAAATCATAATCTCGATTATTTGGGTCAATAATTGATACCACGATTATTAAAAATGATTATCCATTTACTTTGAAAACATCCATTTATTGAAAAAAAAATGTGAACAGTATGTTTTTAACAGTTGATTACCCTTAACTTTAAGTATAATTCAACTGAAAAACCAATAAAATAATTATTATTATTAAAATAATTATTTAAAAAAAGATTAATTTAAAAATAACATCCATCCATATACATCCATCTGATGACTTCTATACATCCGAGAAGTACAACTATTTCCAGACTTGGGACTCATGAGCAAGAAAGCCTAAAGGTGAAGCAATACCCATCTTAGTTGTTATCAGCAGTCACATACATTATTGTAAATCTGTAGCGTATGGCCTTTAGAAGAAAATGAACCATTTCTTCTAAATGAGATGGGTGTCTTTTCTTTGCCTTTAGATGTTCTTTAAACCACTAAACCCGCATCCACTTGTGACACGTGCAATTAGGGCTGTGGTTACTACAGTGCGGAGGGAGTGGACTTGTCCGCCTACACATTCAAGCAAAATGCGGCAAATGATGACTGATGATTTCCTTAAGAAGATGTATAGCATGACATGTCAATAATGAAAAGTAATTCTGATGAAACAAAAACATTTCCTTGAATATCACAGAGACGTAACTTAAAGACTGAGGTATTCAGTGTGATTGTCTCCTGACACTGCACACATTGAGTCGTTCTGGTCACCTATATTCTGATATCTAAGTATTCTTCCATGTTGTGAAACGGGTCCCAATGACACTATGTTGAGTCTGATATTAGTTTGATATTTCAGTGATGGTCCTTCGTTACTATAACAATGTGCAGTGCTCAAGAGCACACTCAAGTACCACATTTGGATTGGGGCTGAGAGCCACAGACAGGCATTGGAAGTCGAAGTATTGATATGGGATGTTGCACGTAGTTGTTTTTTGTCTTTTAATTATAATGGTTCTCTTCAGCCTTTAATGATAGTTTGCATAACCCAATCATGCAGTGCTGCAATTAATGACATGTATCATATTCAGATTTAGTTGAGACGACCACAGGTTGGATATGTTAACTTAACATTACAACACACTTAACTCTGTGGTTGCTGTAATTCCTTATTTTGAGTATCTAATTCCTTTTCACTCTAGTCCATGTCATTGCAAACTCTTCTCTTTGTGGAGGACTGCAGAAAGCCATGTGCAACTTCTGTGACATTGCCATTTTCTTTCACGGGTTCAAAATGTCCCCAGGAGGGACTTTTGTCAGGGCTCTGTTACAATAGTGAAAAAATAAATAAGTCTCATGTCTTTTCCTGTACCTGGAAAATGTCATAAGGTCAAGGGGAGAAGAAGCCATACTTTATGAATCCCTCACAGGGACATTTATTTCTTGACTCTGTTGTGTTTACAAACATTACACACACAGGGAGGATATACATGCACCAACGCAACCACATGCCGATAAGAGAGGTGGCAGAGCAGAGAGGCTGCCAGTTAGCCGGCGCCAGGGAGCAGTTTCCAGGTTAGGTGCCTTGCTCAAGCGCACCTCGGAGAGAAGTGATAAGGACATATGAAAAGACAAAGAGAAGTGTCTATTCCTCCTAAGAAGGATGTTTTGAATGTATCCATACTGTACAATTAAACAATGGCTGAAGATGTTATTGGTTGCCTGATGGTACACCACTTTTTATGTTGCTTCTGCAAGCAATTGGTGGAAGGTATTATATCCTTTTACTGTGGTAATAGATGGACCAGTGCTTTAGCAGATTAGAAAGGAAATCTTGAAACACATTTTCTTCAGCACTCTGACCTTTTCCCTAGGTAGATAATGTAGGTCATCTTTAGCAAAAAAGGCTTGTCCATTGGTGTCCAGATCTCTTCAGTGATGGCTTCATCCCAGTGCTACCAGATGCTTCTGTTGTCCACCAGCAGACTAAATAGCTAACACACGACCTTACTCGATCAGAATATGGGGGAGGGGAGAACTTACGAAATGGAAAGTACGTGTCTCATATGATATCGATCTCAAAAAGATTTGAAAAAAAATAGCTGATGTGTATTGGGGCTTTTTCTAAACCGTTAAGATATCTTATTAGCAAATTTCATCAGTCTTACTGACGCAGTGTCCTCACACAGTACACGAGATGCGACATGATGTAGACTGAAACTTTAGGGTGTTACTGGTTTCTGCTGTGATGGTGTCAAGATGTGCGCTCTTAAGAACGCATTGATATAAGTATCTATTCTGCTGAGAATTCACACTTCACCACCAGACATTTTCAGAAACACAGGGTGTAGTCAGGAGACTTCAAGTTTTCTCTGCCTTTGACCACTTGAGTAATGTCAAACCACTGAGACAATTTTCACATTGCAAACTGAAATACTATTTGTATGGCAAATGTGATTGATTTTGGGAAGTTAAAAGCGTGTTGTGGTTTTGCAGGGCTGTCCCACAGCGCTTTAGTCTTTGGATGCCGTTCTCTCCTTTAACACAAGTATACCTTGAGAATACGTTTATGTGGTTTTGCACATGTAGAGACAAACACACACACACACACACACGACTGTGCAACCTGAAACTCGCACAGTCAAACTGAGCAAAAAGATTAAATGAAACTTATCATTAAATGCTTTGAGTTGGATTCTCTCACACTCGGTCTCATGCATATTGAATTCAGGGTTAACAACCATTAGTCTCGTATTTGACAGCGCCAGTAACGTTTTCTGTCATTCTTAGTCTTGTACGTTTCACCTAAACACCTCTATTGTATTAATTTGTGCGTGATCTTCAAGTGGATCAGGGAATAGCAATTATCCTGGTATTACATAAGGGAGCCATACTGTTGTCTGTAGTATTCTATAAAAATATGGCTTTATTAAACAACATTATAACAGCTTGTGTGGTTTTGTGGAATTAAAAAAAGTAACTACCTTGAAATCTGCTTAATCAAGACACACAGCACATGTCATGCAAGTTTAGAAACCATAACTCTCTGTTCAGCACTTGGTATCATAGCTGAACAGATTCAGAATTTAGTGGTCACGGTCACTTTGAACTCACACAACATGCCATAACTCAAGACTTCATACAGTCATGTCTTCTTGATTGTAATGATGCTGTGCAGAGTTTTGAATAGCCTGCAGAATGCTGAACTGGTCTGGTGTGAGCAGTCATTCAGTTGGTTTCAGATCTCTTTCGTTGGTCAACCACAGACCACCTCTACCTGCAAACCAGTCGGAGGATGAATGACAATAACTGCACCGCTGGCAGAGTGGGCTACGTTTCATTCAGCCAGTGCACAATGAGAAGAAAGCTTTCATCATGTCTTGCTAGTATTTCTCCTAACATCTTTTATTATGCAATAGTTTCGGTTTGCAAATGTTGCAATATGCTCTTAACCCTAGAGCCTTTTTCTGCCCTGTTTTTACTTCACTACTCTATAATGCCGCTCCACCCACATATGATGACCTCCCATGTAGTCCAAGCATGATTCAGTGCATGTTGATCAATGATATTTCAGCCCTAAAATCACCATTTGTATATTTAAATAAGAAAATTAAATAAAACCGAGGTTGAAGTTGGTAATGAGTACATAGGAAGTGAATCAACTTATTTAGAAAGACCCTGATTTTTGTTTTTTTGCAGCATGGATGGTGGTGAGCTTTTCAGTCGAATCCAGGACAGAGGAGACCAGGCCTTCACAGAGAGAGGTAAGAAGTCAGCATATGTGGACTTAAAACGATCAAACGTTTATTACTATACTGCTGTGTCTTATGACATGACTACATAACAGAGGCATAAAAGAGGCCCCTTCGGACACCTGCTAAATATAAAGTAGTTTTTTTCAACCCCCTGACATAATGCAACCCCTTTGTATTCTATCACTCAAGTCACTTGTTATCTCTGTGTTAAAATGGCTGTTTATCTCTTCATTTTAGAGGCATCTGACATCATGAAGAGCATAGGAGAGGCCATCCAGTTCCTGCATGCAATCAACATTGCCCACAGAGATGTCAAGGTTTGTATTATAACTTTGTAATATCATGTTGCTTAATAAAGAATATCCATGCTTTTTTTTATGACCAATTCAAGAAATCTGAGAGGGGCTTTAACCAGTTAAACCCCACGGCCGGGGGCAAAACGCAACATTTTGCAAGAAACAGCGTCTGAAGGGCTTCTTAACATTTAATAAACTATGAATGTGTCATATCCACTGAATGGGAAGAAACTCCACTATCAGACAATATTAACCATTTTTAGCAAAACGAAACATAAGGGTAATAACAAAGGCTCTGAATTAGCCCTGAGCGAAAAAATGCTAACACTCTTAGCACAGAACTCACGTTAAAATACCCTGATTACTTATCGTATCTGCACACACAAGACATTGATTAGCAAGCTGAGATTCCACAGATTCCAGAAATATAAGTATCATCACTGAGCGATCAGAACTCGCTGCGAAACAACAACAACAACAACAACAACAACAACAACAACAAAATTAGCTTTACGGAGCCAAAACGTCTAAAAACTTCTTAACTTTGTGGTTTTCTGATCAAAAGTTGTGTTCAATGGCATTAAAACGATAAAAATGCTGCTGAAGGTTAATCCAATGTGTCTGTGTCACTTTGAAATGATTACTGATAATCCATCATTCCATTTTTATGTCAATAACGGAGATTTCATATTAGCTGCTACGATAGCTACGAGAGTGTATGACAGCTTCCGGTTCCAGGGCATTCTGGCTGCGCATCACTCATTCACCAATGGGTAATGTTTAGATGGATTTGAGGAACTTCGCCTCGATTCTATTGGCTCTAACGGTTAAAAAGAGATGTCAATCATCAAAATCGAACGAGGGGGGCCAGAGATATGGAAAATGCACCCAAATGACCCCAGAAGTGGGTTTTTTAATGTCTAAAAAGGTCAAATGTCACTTGTTTTGCATCAATCTTGATACAGGGTACTTATTGTATGTTATAGTGCGGATTCCTAGAGCTTTTAGTCTACTATCCCATCATTCAAGGGTGGTTTTCACTATAAGTAATGTTTTCTTTTTGGACGGACACTATAATTTACGTTCTTTTACTATGTTCAATCTGAATTTACTTTAAAATTAAAAAAAAATCGATATTGATTCTGACTTTTCTACATCCAACTCACAGATGTAACCTTGCTTTGAGAAAAAAGATTATTAATTTACCCCTTTTAGAAGTGAAGCTATAGTCATTTGTTCTGGGAATGTCATTTTCGAGCCCGAGGCCTGAAAAACAGGCTCGGGGCTTAGACTGATTTCCATAGCTATAGTAACTAAATAACTTGTTTTTCTTCTGGCCTGCTTCCTGTATCCTCCCTGCAGCCAGAGAATCTGCTGTATTCTACCAAGAGGCCCAATGCCCTGCTCAAACTCACAGATTTTGGCTTTGCCAAGGAAACCACTTCACACAACTCTTTAGCTACTCCCTGCTACACACCCTACTATGTTGGTAAGCATCTGCTTCTGTTTGAACTCTCATTCTTGCTCCACTTGTTGCTTATTAACAAAGAGTTCCAATGATTCGGGACACATTTACACTTGCTTTACCCTTTATTCATGTCTTTCTATCTGCAGCTCCAGAAGTTCTGGGCCCAGAGAAATATGACAAGTCCTGTGACATGTGGTCGTTGGGTGTGATTATGTATATCCTGTAAGTCTGAACCCTTTCATCACATTAGACTATCATTTACTTGTTGCTTTAAAGAGGACCTATTATGCAAAATCCACTTTTTCACGTCTTTTATACATAAACGTGTGTCCCCTCTTTGTAAAGAGATTCTGAAAGTTTCAGAAAAAAAGATCCGCTCACTTTTTGTCCTGATCCATTTATATAAAAACCTGTCTGAAAATGAGCTGATCAGATTTTGGCCACTTTATGATGTCATAACGACTTTTTGGCTTGTGCAACCATTGGCCAATAACCAACCAAGGTAACACCCCCCCCCCCCCCCCCCACCTTATCACCTGCATCTCCTCCTAGAGCACCATTGTGTTCTTTTTAACCAAATATCTCTCAGAGGGGCGTGGGGAGTGGCTCCTTATTTTCATCTAAAGTAACAGACACAGAATCAGCACTTTTGAAACAGGGCTGAAACAGAGGGGATTATGGGATGCTACAATGATCTGTTTGGTATTTGAAGCCAAACACTTCAGAGACATGTTTTGTATATATCTGAATATATTGATGAAAAACATTATAATAGGGGACCTTTAACTAATATTTGCATTTGAACTATCAACAGCTTGTGTGGATACCCTCCTTTTTATTCTAACCATGGTCTAGCCATCTCCCCTGGGATGAAGAAGAGGATCAGGATGGGCCAGTATGAGTTTCCCAACCCTGAATGGTGTGATGTGTCAGAGGAAGGTCAGTCCACATGCATACCTACACTAAATGTGATAAACTGTTGACTTGGCCTTTTTCATAAAACTGGAAATAACAACAAAGAACATTTATTTTGATTATTAACAGAGGACCTCCTGCTGTATATATCTTAAATTAAAACACTGTCTATATATATAGTATATAAGTCTGATATAACATCCAATTCATTTTACAATTGTATTGTTTCACAAGCTCCCGAAGGAAGTCTTTATTCCTAACCAAACCAAAGTTAAAAAGGTCAAAGGTGACGCCAAACCTCCAGCATTACGCCTTCACCTAAATGTGACAAAGCAGCTGGCTTTTGAAGTCAACTTTCTGATCTAGAAATGGAAACTGATGCAGATGTTTCACACACACCTATCAACAACCACCAGTCACATTCACTGCAATTGAAAGTGAAGTCTTATTTTCTGAGTAATTGAAAGCTTTTATGAAGAAAAGAGAAGCTAACGTGATGATTTGGCATATACCGACCCTAAATCTCCCTCCAACAGAGGGGTGTATGGGTATACTTGCGGATACTTGCCGTGTTGCACTGTAGTACTCTTCTCAAGCACAGTCATCATCATTACTGCAGGATTTCTCAGTACTGTTCAAGATTACACAATTTTTAACAAAAAAAAGCGTGGGGTTATCGGAGTCCATGAAAGAATGATGACACCCTCAATCAGAACATAATGTCCTGCAGCCTTGCCTCGAGAATCTCCCCCACTTTCACACATCCTACATAAGAAAAAGAGATACTATGACCCCAACCTGAAGAGTATATCATGTTTATTTGTCATGTATACAGATATTATGTGCCAGTAAGGCAACATCGTGCACCACCATGACACTCTACCTGTTTGTTGATCTGTCACCTTGTAATTGTATGCACTGTTTTACTGAAGTTCACTAAAACAGTTACTTAATCCTTGGATATGAATTTTCTTTTTGAATAATATCAAACAATGATTGTGTTTGCAGCTAAACAGCTGATTAGGACCCTCCTCAAAACTGAGCCAACGCAAAGGATGACCATCACAGAGTTCATGAATCACCCGTGGATCAATGTAAGCAAATACTTGTGTTGTGCATTTTCCAGCTCACATTCCTGCCATTATTGAACAGTGAAGTAAAATGGTGGTGTGTTTCTGTGTGTCTTCCTAAAGCAGTCGATGGAAGTCCCCCAGACCCCACTTCACACCAGCCGGGTGCTAAAGGAGGAGAAGGACGCTTGGGAGGATGTCAAGGTAAGATGGTTGTCATTGAATCAGCATTGCTTCTTGTATTGTAGCTACGTAATTCTTGGTGTTGATATATATCAGAAAATACCTTTTAATAAACATTTCAAATATCAATGTATTACTAATGTATGTTCTGTTTGTTCGTGTTAGTCTTGACAGGATGCAGCTGGTGGTAGTTTATCTTTTGTCCTTAGCACTTCCCCTTTTCCCTAATTGAAGTGTGTATCATCATTCATGTCATGATTCTGCGGCTAGCTTAAAAAAAGTGAAGTGTAATGATGTCTATACAAAAACCACAGTCCCTAGTTGTCCAAAGCAAGAGGTCTGATGAGCTTTTTCCATCCATTTTTCAGGAGGAAATGACCAGTGCCTTGGCAACAATGAGGGTTGACTACGAGCAAATCAAGATCAAGACCATTGAGGACTCGAAAAACCCACTGCTAACGAAACGGAGGAATAAAGCCAGTAACCCCATGCAGGACCCCCAGTCTGCTGCCCACTGAAAGATGCACGCATGCATGCACATACAGACACAGGTTGTAAAAAGGAAGCAATAATTTGTCGACATGTGAGTCGCGTTGCATGGATTTTCTCAGTGTTTTATTTTTTCATGGCAAATTCTAATGTTTTGTAGGAGTGTTTGTTTTTATTACTCTTCCATTTTAACAAACCCACCACTCTGCTCTGGCAGAGAGGATGTTTATCTGTGTTTTGACACCAGTAAAGAGATTATGAAATATAGAAAAGGAGAGGAGAGGGAATCGGTGAGTTCTCTCGCCTCTCCTTTCCCAAATATCAGGTTGTGTACTCGGAGGGGCTTGAATGTTGGGATATGACATGAAGCCTTAGCATTAGCAGTAGTTCTCTTTTACCCAGCAGCCCTCGTTCAGCTCTTGCCCCAAACCTTTGAATGTTAAATCAAATGGCTAAATCCCAAAAAGAAAAGCAAGGGAAGGTTTCTTTTACATCGTAAATGCAACGTTAGCAGATGTATTTTGAAGTGGAATGTAAAGACTCTGTCCCTGACAGTTAAGATTAGCTTGAAATAGTCACTTATTTCTGGGACTTGACGTGGGAGTGTCCGTCAGGTTCAGTTTGTCTTTGTGAATGTCATGAGGCCTATGCACTCACAACGGCCGTGTGCCATTCTGACAGAGCACCTCACTCGTGGCCCCGCTCTCCTACCTTAATCTACGCTTGTTTTTCAGGTACATAGTTTATAAGGCAGAGAAGGACGCAACGTTTAGGACAGAAACCGGCCCGACTTTTTCTGCCACATGTAGCTCATAGGAGAGTAGGAGCAAACCGATACTGTATTTTTTCATGGATTTTATGAACATATTAGCATAGGCCTTACTATCTAAAGCAGCAAATTACTTTTAACCCCTACCCACCATTTGGTTCAGGCTTTTACCAATGTTATGCTTCCCAATTTATAACATTGCAGATGATATATCAGGTTAATATTATGCAGATATGTCGGTCAGCTTGAAGTACTGCTTGGACCTTTTCCTTAGTGTGGATTTCTGTTTGCAGAAGTGTTGGAGAGAGAAACAATAAGGAGTGTTTGTGTGTGTTTATGTAATTAGTAGCGATTCTTCTAGGGAATAATACATGGTTCAGACAGACTGGGAAATCACTTTTTACTTTTGCCAGCTTAACTTTGAGGAGGCTCAATGACGAAGTCTGGTCAAACTTTCCTGGGAGATTGAAAGGAAGTAGAAAGTACTTGGGAGCTGCTTCTCGTCCCAGGGCAGAATCTCTAACAATACCACCAGCAAGCTGTCGTCACACTCGAGTGTGATGGTTGGTTTCTCTTCAATGTTCTTGTTAACGCAACAGGAAGCTTCCAGCTCACTTTGGGATCATGGGAAATGATTGTGTTAATGTTGTCAGTTTAGTCCACTTCACTTTGTTAAATCACATCCACATTACCTGTCACATCGCACATACAAATCTCTCACTGTAAAAATGTTCATTGAATGTTTGTGACAATGTTTTGTTTTTCTTTTCATCCCAAACACCTATTTTGTAGTGGAAGCACAGAAATGTTTGTCGTTTTTTTTTTTCTTGTCATCAAGTCTGTCCGGCTCCACCTGCTATACTTTTGTCTGCTTCAGCTTTGGATTAAAAAAACACATAAAACACAAAACTGCAGTGTCATCTCATTTTATTGCATTTGAAATGCTTTGTCTGTATGAAAAATGTATTCTTAAGGACATTCTTAAAAAGGAAAACAATCGAAGGCCTCGAAAGCACATTGTACTGTAGTACGTAAAACATTGATGGATGACCATACATTTGGAAAATGAACCCATAAAAACCCACGGTGACACAGATGTTACATGAGTTCAAGTTACTACAGCTTTAGCCTTTATTTTATGACATGAAATCCATGTGACACAAACTGAACAGTGGTGGGTCATGGGCCAAGTCATGTGATTTTGTGTTCCCATAACAACATGTCCAAGATGTCCATGTGACAGGCTAACACATGTGACAGAACTAGCTACATTTCAAAAGCTTGTTTTATGTTGCTAAAGGTAAGATTCAAGCCATTTAAGAATTATAATGCTTACATAACATGTCCTCTATTACATTTAACTTGTGACATTTCTTGATCAAATTCATATAAAACAAATAACATAAGATCTCTGACACTAGGGCGGGAGGTTTTGTCAGAAATGTGGTCTATTTAGTCTAAATAATGTTATGCATAATTTTTCCCGAAAGTAGAAATGGGTCTCGGTTCTTATGGGTTAAAAATGTGTCTTCAAAAAGCAGAAACTCCTCTATAATTTTAAGAATTGTTGTTATATTTGTCTCCTGAGACAAATGGGGTAGATGGGGTAGGTCATTTTGGAGAAACCAGCTCGAGTGCGCTAGAATTTGAAAATACGCAACCGGAAAAAATGTGCCACTTCCTTACAGAGCCCCTCCTCCAACACACATGAACGCGCACATGACCAATGAGGGCACGAGATAAGTTTGTGCACAGATGGAAGGCTGACAGGCAGGTAGGCCATCCAGTTATTTTAGCCCGGCCGGCTAAAATGATTGGTCGTGCTTTTTACAGTACTACGGCTTCCACAGATGACATTTTTTAATGTATTTATTGTCAAAGCATTTAATATATTCATTGCTATCGGGATGTTAAGAGCATTCCATGGAATATAACAAAAAGTGTTTCTGAAATAAATTACATACCCCACCTTTAATTGTTTTCTTCCAAGAAGTCATAATCTCAACAACTTGTTTTATAATAAATGTTTGATTCTCTATGCAAACACCTGCTAGAGATAGCCAACTTGTCTACTTGTGACATGTGTCTTGCCCGGAGTTATTGGTACAGTTGGTAAATTATTGAATTAATTGTAATTAATGAATCTACCAAATTTAAATATGTTCTGCATCTTAGACCTTTGTCTCAACAATAAGATACATTTTCTTCTCAATCACATTTATGACTCAGGTTGACTGGTAGGCTTGGGATTTGTGGCCTTGACACGGAGTGCACAAACTCAACTCGTGACAGACTTGTATCACATTTGCTAGCATGAGTGACTCCGGGAATATACACATTTGCGTAGCAAAACAGTCTGGTGGCATTGAGTCAACCCAGACATTTGCCAACACTGGGGTGTTTAGAGCAGCTTCTGTCTATTACACAGGGTTATTTCTCCTCAGGTGCCAGGCAGCAGACGGCATGCCGCTTCCAGCTTTGACTGTGACGAAACCTACAGTCATCTCTCGTGCTCTCAGGTAAGTAAGAAAGGGGGTAGAGGGGCTTCAGGGGAGTTCCTCATGATCGTAGGCCTCTGGAGGTTTTACCCTTTTAACCCACCTGCTACAAACTTCAGGACACATAACCATCCTGGAACATGGAGGGAGGACATTTTATATAACTTAGTCAGTCTTTATAGTGTGTATTTAAAATAAATACTATACAGTGTATTGGTACATCTCAGGAAGATAAAAAGGACATACTGTGTGTACTTTCTCAAGTAATCCGTAAACAGTTCAACTCCTTAACAGGATTTCTATCAAGGAAAATCGGATACAATTTTACTTTATTCAAAAATAAGAATATATTGTTATAGGTTGGAAACAAAAATGTGCCTATACGTAATTACTGTGTACATCTTTTTAAAGTTGTGGGGAATAGGAAGGGTGGATATTTCTCTGCCGAGGTGATGAGACACTTCTTTGAAGTGGCATGCTGATTCTCACACACAAACACACATCCTCTCAGACAAGACGGAGTAGGTTGTCCTGCCCCAGACAACAAGTAGCAAAAGTGAGATGTCACTTACCTCTCAGCAAGAAATCTAGAGGTCAAAGTGGAGCTTTGAAAGATTTTCAGATATGATCAAATAAGAAAGCAGTTTCATCAGTTTCACATGTTCAACAGCAGTTTTCACATGTGCTGGGAATCAGATTGTTTTACTGTCAAGAGAAGCTCTACATGTGGTAACTGAGGTTGCTTTGATTTTTTCCAGTATTTTTTTGCTGATACTTTTAAAAACCCGTTTTAGGAGAAAAATGCAATGTTTTCTAAGAAAAGTTTCATTGAGAAGTTAGGCTTAGTAACTCACAGTAGTGACATAGAGGCTTTCCACTGGCACCTATGTGGAAAGGTCATATCTGCCAATTTGAAAATGTAACCTATAATGGTCCTTCCTTTTTCAGTAAAAAAAACAGGAAAGACGAAAAGGAAGAGCAGTCATGAAGTTCATACGGGTGTGCAAATGAAACATCTTGCATCATTACCAATCATCAGGGCATGATCGACACAATGCACTAATTTTCTATTATTATAGATTCATTTCAAACACTAAGAGACTCGAGTCGGAATAGAAACAGTGTGTCACTTTGTTCTTAAGCAGCGTCAGCAGAATATTATGCTATCTTTAAAGTCTCTGTTTTGGAAATAACATCTTGACTAATCACAAAAATCACCTAAACACTGATTTTAAATAATGAATCAGAACGGATGTCTTTGATAATATTCACAAATTGTATCACTGCTTTTCTTTTCATAAGATCTCGCTTTTATTTCACCTTTTTCTCAAATACACTTCTCTAAATGTGGCCACAACTGTTGGAAAATAAACAACAGTTTGATGTCATCCCATGTAGTAAACGAGATGCATTCTGTATCATGGTTACACGTTTAAATATAAATGTCAACATCATCATGGAATGTATTAAATACCATTATTAAAAAAGGAAATGGAAAAGCACAGCACCCAAACAGTTTTCTGTCAAAAGACAATACAGTCATTTATGACATGACCTTAGTTGCTGAACAGTTTAATGAGTATTTTGTTAATGTTGGTCCTTGTCTAGCTGGGGAAATTCCAAATACTGGTAGTAGTGAAGGTGTAGAAAGTAAAGATATAAATGTGAAGGAAACTATATTCTTAAGAGGGACTGATGAAAATGAAATTATTGACACAGTTAAAAAACTAAAGAGTAAAAGGTCTACAGACTGTCATGATATTGACATGTATACAGTTAAAAACATTATTGAATGTATAGCCAAACCACTAACTCACATCTGTAATCAGTCAATACAAACCGGTGTATTTCCAAATAAAATGAAAACTGCTAAAGTCATACCGATACATAAATCTGGAGATAAACATGTACTGTCAAACTATAGACCAATTTCATTGCTCCCACAGTTTTCTAAAATACTGGAAAAAATCTACTATGTAAGACTAAATGACTTCTTCACCAAACATAACATACTCTATGAACAACAATATGGTTTCAGAGCAAACAGAACCACATCATTTGCAGTTATAGAATTTATGGAACACATTACTAAGGCAATAGAAAAGAAAGAATATGCAATAGGGATATTTCTGGACCTTAAAAAAGCATTTGACACGGTTGACCATGAACTATTATTAAAAAAACTACAGAGATATGGAATTAGAGATGTTGCACTATCATGGCTATCCAGCTACCTACATAACAGGAATCAGTACGTTGAAATACAAAGTCATACATCACAACTACTACAGGTTACATGCGGGGTGCCTCAAGGCTCTGTCTTGGGGCCATTATTATTTATTCTGTATATTAACAACATATGTGAAGTATCAAAAACTGTTAAAACCATTCTTTTTGCAGATGACACAAGTCTACTCTGCTGTGGGGACAATCTAGAACAGCTATTGGTCACAATGGAAAAGGAACTGAGCAGGATGAAGATCTGGTTTGACCAAAATAAATTAACATTGAACGCAAGCAAAACCAAACTCATAATATTTGGGAATCGGTCGACCAATACAGAGAAGAAACTCACTATAAATGGCGTCCAACTAGAAAGAGTAACGGAAATAAAATTCCTTGGAATAATCATAGACAATAAATTAAGTTGGAAACCACATATAAGCTATATCAAAGCCAAAATATCCAAATCAATAGCAATTCTAAATAAAGCCAAATACCTAGTTAATCAAGCTTCCTTGTTTATGCTGTACTGCTCCTTCATACTTCCATACATGATGTATTGTGTGGAGGTTTGGGGGAACACATACAAAACAAATACACATCCTATCTTCATCCTGCAAAAAAGAGCAATACGAGTTATACACAAAACTTCGTACAGAGAACCAACAAATAAATTATTTATCAAACTAAAAACACTAAAACTACAAGACCTGGTTGACTATAAAACCATTCAAATTATGTACAAGGCCGCAAATCATCATTTGCCTCATGGTGTCCAGGGACTTTTTACACGGAGAGAAGGCATGCACATGTTGAGAGGAAACTGCATTTTCAAAAAACCACCCGTACGTACAAATGCCAAACTTCATTGCATCTCATCAAAAGGTGTTAGTCTGTGGAATAAATGTAGTGATGCACTGAAAAATTGTACAACTTTATATAAAATGAAAGTATTATTCAAGAGCCAAACCATTAGTGGTTATGAACAGTACCTGTAAAAATTCCTTTTGTCATTTCCTGTAATTATAAAAGTAATTACTTCCTGATTGTTTTTGTAAAAAAAAAAAAAAAAAAATGATGACGATGACCTAATTACTTCATTTATACTGCAAGGAAAATGTACGCTAGAAGGGGTAGGACCAGAAAAGTTTTTTAAGCTTCTTCTTGCCCCTGTTGAACACGACAGAG